TCCAGTGTGGACACAGAGCGCCACTGGGGACGGTGTCCAGTGTGGACACAGAGCGCCACTGGGGACAGCAGTGCTGGGAACTACCTGTTGGTGTGTTTTCCACTGTTACTTTTAGTGGACTCAGCAAGTTACATTACCAGCTTGAAAATTAAAGTTGATGTGAAAATAATTAATATCAAGATCATTTAATGGCAGCTGCAAGGCAACTGTAACCAGATCCTGTGCAGGGATGGAGTGCAGGAATTATATTGTACCTCTGTATAACACAGAGGAAGGACTACAGCCACTACAGTACATCCCACTGAGGTCCGGGTCAACACACAGCAATATTCAGTAACGCCCAGTGAAATCAGAGTAAAAACAAAGCAAAATGTCATAAAGCTCTGTGTGCACAGTATGGTGCAGTAAAGCCCAGTGTGAGTGTGGCAACAGTGCAGTAAAGCGCAGTGAAGGCAGCAGTTTACAGAGGCAGGCTGGTCCGTGCTCAGAGCATCCTGTGATGTAAGGCGTGAGAAGGGTGTGAAACTCCCCTCCGGAGTTCCAGCCCTCATGAGAGGAGACCCCTGCTACACCGAGATCAGTCAGAGAGGCGCCGAGCTGAGCCCCGGGTCCGAGCAGCAGCGAGGAGCATCCCCGTGTTGAGACTTGAGGCAATCAGAGTCGCGAGTTCGAGCGCGGAGCTCGGGCTATGAGACAGAGCCTGGCGATGCCCACTGGCATGAGGGCGAACACCTCAGGCTCTGCCTCACTCAGCCCCCTCCACACAGAGCCTGGCCCTGAGTCTACGCTGCCAGCGGGGTCTGCTGACCAGACCACCCTCTCCGCCTCTCCGGGGGGCCCACCTGGGAATTATCCCAGTGTCAGCTTCTACACTAACTGGTGTCATTATGGTCTGCGCTGCTCCTACTCGTTTGGCCAGATGCCAGTGCCTTCAGTCAAAGGGCCCGTGAGCAGTTTAATTCAGCCAGCACTCAGAGCACTCAGGTACTGTGTGCTCACCGGGCCAGTGCTGCTCTGTGTCGGACAGGGACCGGACAGCCCAGACGATGACCAAAGGCCCGTCCGGACGAATCAGAGAAGAGCCTACCTGGCTGGCACAGCGGCGTGCCCGCGGTCCGCTGCAGGTGCCCCAGCAGGAGGAAGAGCCCGGCGAGCTGCAGTATCCCAGAGCGCAGGGGAGCCATGCTGTTCGCACGTTGTCACACTGCACTTCCTCTGCTCTGCCAGCGGGACAGCCGCCCGTTTTGTCTGCCAGGTGACATCACGCAAACCACAGATCTTTTTTTAAGCAGCTCTTACGTAATGGAAGGATGACATCAGATCACAGCAGCGACAGAAAACGCAGTAAGAGGTCGATACTGAAAGGGCCTGTGAGATCAAGAGAAATAAGCCACCAGCTTTCATCAGTTGTTTTTCTCACACAGAGAAAGATTACAATGAGGGACTATAAATTCACAGATGTATTAAAGAAGCAAACATGATCGAGAACATAATTAAGACATGCAGCCTAAGAAACCCAGAGAAGTGCCTGATGGGAGGTCCTTGTGCTTGTGATTGCGGGTGTAGGAGCTGTGTTGTCTACTCTCCTGCTCTGGGGCTGTGGAGCACGTACTGCTGACCCCACTGCCCGTCCACTGCTGTCCGGTCAGCCCCTGTTCCACTGGCTGAGCAGACCAAACACCTCCGAGTTTAGAAAGCAGTGCCCCTCCCAGCAGCACCCCCAGAGCAGTGCTGGGGGTGCAGCAGACTGGGAGGAGACAGCACCGAGAAGGGGGGACCCGTGCCCCAGAACCCTGCGCCAACAGGCCCTCTGCTCAGCCCTCTCAGTCAGCAGACCGAAGAGAGCTACCTCACTGCCACTGCACGACCAGATCACAGATCACGCCAATACCCCCTCCTACAAAAGCAGCCTGTCCCAGAGAAACACTGAACATGTTTTAAAAGAGCTTGAAAGCAAATGTCATGCAAAAGCCAAAAATAGAAGGCAGATAGACCTGATGACGGTGAGCCTGAAACCCCCGGCCGCTACTTTCCAGAACCGCTGCTGTTCCACTGCCGCGCCTTCGGGGGCAGCGTGGCGCGGAGCCTTGCGGTGAGGCGAAAGGTCATGGAGGTGCCTGCAAGGACACCCCAGCACAGCTGCGCCCACATGGCAGGGACAGAGGACCTGGGTTTTGACGCTGAGACAGCTGCGTGTCTTTCATCTTGCGCCAGGCTTGAAACCGCAGGCTGAGAACACCAACTCAAGTGCAAAGGCCAAGCTGGGGTGAGTGGCATGAGCACTGCTCCTGCGTGCACCCTGATGCCCCAGACCCCTCTCTCCTCTGCCCTGCGCCCCGCCAGCCGGCCGTTTCTGTTCACTGGGGAACCTCCTCCTTGCAATACACTGGTCAACTGCCCTCAGATTACAGCAGCTGGAAGCAGCCCTGCCAAGCTGTGAAAACGGAGACTTTGGCTTCCTCCAGCAAATGGCTGGATGAGATTCTGAGATCAGTCTGTTACTAATGACCAAACGGAACAGATAGGACTTGTTTGCAACAGGCTAATGTTGTTTTTCCTCTGGCGTTGCCTTTAAATAACAGTTTACACTATATATACTGTATACTTACAGACGTCTGGGAGCAGAACTTTAACTCTTTAACTCTTCTTGAGTGGCTGAAGGAAAGTGGCTTTGTTCCCCCGTAACAAAACTCCACATTAGCAGCCCACACACTCGTACCGTATGTTAATCTCCCTGTCAGTCTGGTGGGTCACCTGGGACCTTGCGGGGACAAAGGAGGAGCAGCTGAGTGTCCAAAAACTCTTTCCAAAATCCAGAACTCTCGCTGAGTCTCTCTCCCTGCTGGTCCGTCTCCAGGAGCTGCTGCCTGCCTGCAGAGTCTCTTCTCTCCCTGCTGGTCCATCTCCAGGAGCTACTGCCTGCCTGCAGGGTCTCTTCTCTCCCTGCTGGTCC